ACAAAAACGCCAAACAGATACAAAGCCTCCTTCACAGCCTTTTCAAAACGCCAAGCCTCACTGTTTTTCTCATTATATTGCTCAGCTGTAAATCTCTTCCCAGCAATCAGCCTCACGTTTATGTTGAACGTTAAGAACTCAATTAACTCACTCAAATGCACTGGCGTGGGGCCTGCGCCATTCTTTGTGCAAAGTGAAAGCAGATTTTTGATGAACATGTCAACCTCTGAGGTCCTAACGTGGCTCAGCGTTTCGACTCTTTTGGTCGAGAGGAGCTCCAGCGTGGCCAACTTGCGGATGTGGCGCCAGTAGGGGCCGTAGGGGGCTAGGGAAAAAATTGCATTGTCGTAACCCAAGTACTTGCCTCCTGCAATGCTTGGTCGTGTGGCAAAAACTCTGTCGTTTGTTGTGAGACATTCTTTGACTGTCTCCCAGGAGCTGAGGACCAGCACTTGGTGTTGGCCAAGCTTGAGGGAGAAGATTGGTCCATGGTCATCGGCCATGGCTCCCAGGGTTAGGGCAACTGGGTCTTTGCCACGTAGCAGAGGGAGGTGGCCTATGAAGGGCCATGCTCCTGAGGGTTGAGGGACTAATTTCGTCGTCACGGTTGTCTTTGTGCTGGTGATCTTCTTCCTAGTGTAAGCTGTGATTCTCAAGGCAGCGTAAAGTAGAAGCAACGATAAAATTGTTTCAAGAATTTGGATATCCATGGTGGGGGTGGGAGAGAGAGAGAGTGTGTGTGTGTGTGTATGTGTTACAAATGGGAATATAATTGCGTGTAGGATATAGTTCATTTTGCATGCGTATTTATAGACAGCTTGACAATGCAAGTTTTAGAAACAAGACAAGTCTCTTTCAAAAACAAACAAAAAAACAAAGATTAGGTACATACGTGTACGTATCGCATTAAACAAAGATTAGGTACGTGTACGTGTCACATAATGTTGAAAGCAGGACGATTCGTATCACATGAATTGAGATACACATTGGATGCTCACCCCATGTAAAATATGGGGTTTTCATTCACTGGAGTGTCGGTTGGAGTTTGATACTTTT